AAACAATGCCGCCAATCCTCAAGCGCCTGACTAGTTACCCAAAAGACGTGTGTATGACTAGACACCCATGGTGAAATCATGTTCTATACCTGGAGTTACACTGTGGGCTGTTAGAAGGTGCTTTTAAAGCATGGAGTGAAGTTACCTGGCCATGAACTTCAAGAAGACGACAAGATACTGGTCCACGCGGATAGCTACTTCGTCGTCGCCACCCTCGCTAAGGACCTCCCAGTCGTCCTTGCCCTCGTCGCCATCCTTGTTCCTTGCTTGCTCCGTGAGCTTGAGCAGCCGTGTATCGTCGACTAGCGCTTCCATGCCGCTGTCGAGTTTGCTGACATCTTTACCGGCTTTGAGCTTGGCGAGTCGAAGCTTCAGAGCAGCGTCGGCGCGGTCAAGGAGTACTTTCATGACGGATGCATGTTTGCAGGGATGTACCGAGGCAGTCTTGAGAGGGTTCTCGAAGAAAGGGAAGTCCTCGATGGTGACCGTCTTGTCCTTGTAGTCTCCGACGATATCCTCCATCATCTCTTGTGGTTTCAGTGGAACGGACGTGGAGCCGTAGCCGGAGAGATATAATCGCGGTGTTCGGTAGTGGGCGGAGTATGTGATGTAGAGGGTGTATGTGCGAAGGGGCCTGTTGGGTGTCAGTCAGTCTGTAGAGCGCTGGCAGCAGGCGGGCACACTCACGCCTTTGTATTTGAGTCGGCCTTGGGGTCTCTTATGATGGCTTCCTCGTCGTCTTCGATATCCTCCATGTCGGGTATCTCGTCATCCTCCTCTGCCGCGCCTAGGTTGCCGCTCTCGTCGACCGTCCGCACGTCGCGCACCTTGGCCTCCTGGCTTGCGGCCATGCCTCCGGTCCTGAGCCAGCCGTCATCGTCGGTCGCACCTTCCCCAGCAGCGAAGCCGTCCCTCACCATGGTCTCATCTTGGCCCGCCTCTCCCGCAAAGTTGTCGTCGAGCCGTCGGTGGCAGGGCACGCCGCGCGTTACCAGGAACTGCTTTCCTTCAGGCAGGTACGACACGCGCTTTGCAGGCGATGACGCGTCGGCCCACTGCCATGAGGGGAACTTGAAGACGAGGAAGTCGCCAGCAAGGACAAACTCCTCGGGCGTGATCTGGCCCGTCTCGCGGAAGGTCGATGTGTGGCTGATGGCGGCGGTCCGCTCCCGGAACGTGTCGATGTACGACCTGACAAAGTTGTAGGCCATGCTGGTTGCTCGTGGTTGGTCTGATTTGCTTGCGGAGTTCGAGGCCGTGGTTGAGCGGGTAGCGATGTTGTGTCGTGTATCTCTAAGGTACTTGGAGGGGCGCGGGGGTGGAGGCCTCCACCATCATCCCAAGCCGACGCTCCTCACCCCCACTTGTCAGCCGACAACACCCAACATTCATCCCCGTCATCCGCCGCCTGCCTTCACAACACTTCATCACGCTTCGATTTCACATGACGATAGCGCACTCAGGGTCCAAGACTGTCACGCACCTTCGCCGTGACACAGTGGCGCAGAGCTGTCTAGCGCTTGAACTATCCATGGATACGCTGCATGCCATCAAATATGACATCAGTGAGTATGCTGCTTCCCGACTACTGCGATAGGCTCGGACCTCACACCGTGTCTCGATGCAGCTGCGCTCGGAGAGCCCTACGAATTCATAGTCATCCGGTGCACTTCGACTGTCGATATTCGTAGTACCGTCTGCAGGTATCCCTAAGATTGGTATCTGATTCCGCATACAAATCGGTATGCTACCTGCGCAGGCGAAACTCGTTTGCGTCGACCTACTGCCTTGAGCTGGGGAGATACACAGAAACACAGACAGGTGTCAGGACGCCCACGCTCGTGTGCGAGCGTCTGGAACTCGTAACACTCATGACAGATATCGTTACGAGGTCTGGCAGTGCCAGAGATAGTCGACGGAGCAACAAGGCAAAACGTTGTCGCAGCACAGCAAGACACGCCTTCGATTCGTTTACGTTACCTCTTGAGCGACAACTCCATGACCAAGCACACTCGTGTTAACCGACTTCAACAGATTGCCTAGCTTCAGGCTCGTTCTTCGACAGGGGGCGTTAGTGTCGACAATGATGGGCGTGCTCCATGTCTGCGCAATGTCGTACGCCGTTGCCTGAATGCAACGGCAGATCCCCCTGACATTGCCTCTAGCCTCGAATCTAGGGCTAACTCAAACATCATATCTCTCCTCGATGGACCCACATAACAAATACGTACGACTGTTCGTTTCTGGAGCTGACAATGTATCGAGCTGAGATAAAGCGATGCCACAATGCTTCATAGGTAAATTTTGTCCAGAAACGACCAGTGCGAAATTACAAGGCAAAGAAAATGGACCACATGCTCACCCAAGCCCTTCTAACCCCGTTCGGCGCTCACCGCATTCATTTGCTTCGAACGCACCCTTTTCGACCTCGAAACATACGACAAATCCTTGTCTGCTACCAAATGTTGCATGGGCTCTCATAGTCATTTCTCTCTTTGGTGCAACTTCAAAGTGAGTTCACAATGTCTTTGCTATGAGGCTAGTGGCTCATGCACATGAACGTAGGTTTTGATAGACTACAACATGAATACCAACTGACAAATCCATTAAGGTTCAGTTGATGTACGGCAACCCACAGCCGGCCCACAGTCAACCCTGAACAGCCCCACATGTTCACATACGAGCTCGGGCTACAGAAAGCGTATCCTTACCGACGTGGCGATCAGATCAGTGCTCAACAGCCGCTATAGCCATTCGGAATTCCAGCATGTGTAACGAATCTACCCGCGACTTCCGCTTATGGCAGATTGTACCCATAGTAGCAACGGCTGGGTGCCTTTGCACGTTTGGGAGAAATCCTTGAACCACGCTCATTCCAAATGCAAAGTCAAGCACGCGGAAACATCTAAAGAGCTTCGTACCATATCGCAGACTGTCCATGCATGTCAAATCGATTGCAAACAAAGACCATGGGAAGTACTATCGGCCGGCAGTGCTCGTATGTCTGTACCACTGAGTCACCAAAGTAACAGTGACCGATGCAGGCATTACCCTCAAAAGAAATATGCTCTCAAAGAGACGGAATGGTCACAGCGGCAAAATACCCACAAATTCTCAAGCCAAAAAGCTGAGCCATTCGCGGAGCGTCAACGCCGTGCTGCCAACAAACGCACCCACAGCATATCTCAAGAAACTATGATGTACAGCGTCCTTACCAAAGCTTCAGCACTGGCTACAACACCTTCAACACTTGTGGCATGGCAGAAATAGCGCCCAGTCGATCCGAGCCACTTGGTGCATCTATTGAGACTGTACCAATGGTCTAATGTCGTGTCGCCTCAAGCGTCTCCCTCTGTCTATAAAGGCCCCATGCTCGACAGCGGACTGAGCATATTTCATCCGATGACAAGGACATTGCAACTATTCCTGACCTCATCACGAACAGCATATTCACTTATCTTTCGACCTCACGAACGGCACGCCGGAATTTCGAACCTATATATCGCTTCTCACAAGCTGTCATTGTTGCAATGACGGATCCCAGTACAGTAAACGATCCTTCGCAGCCGCGATGCGGAGGTTGACGCCGACATATTACACCGCCCAGGCCCAAGTATGCATCAGGCTTATCTTTTGGAGGTCGACGTCGCTGATATAATGGTGCGAAACAGTCATTGCAATTATTCGGTGATCTGGACCACGTGCTACACAGTCGCACGCATAGCAATATCTTCATCAGCTTGACGATTTTATCCTACCAACAGCCAGCCGCTTGACAGAAGGGGCACCAAACACCATGGCAGCACCATCGCCAACACGCGATCAGCATATGCGGGGCCTATCTTTCTATCCCGCACTTTTGCGTTGCATGATGGCACATTATTGAGTTCGCAGTCCTCGGTATCACCTTCTGCACAAAATCAAGCTCTAAGTACAGTCGCTCCGAAATTTGCATGTTTTGTCCTCTCTCCAACCGCAATTTCACCACGATGTTACTCATAGTAACGAGCAATACCACCTTTCAACCTGTGTATTCTCGGTCAAGGAACATGCCAAGTGGTACCTTCCCTTGCTGTGGTTGGAAACATGTCGTGTCGCCAGGCTCTTAGCATTCCCGCGCCGCGGAACGCTCACCAGTGACACGAACACGGGCAGATGGGCATTCTACCACAATACCATCGAGCACATGACAACGGTTTGCGCCTCGGTGGGGACTTCCGAGAACAACGGTTGGCTTTCGTTTTCTCTGCTCGAAAAATGAGCACTGGATGAAACCCGCGCTTCTCCAATCAAATGGTGACTCCCGCGTGTACAGCATCCGCTTCTTCGTTGGCAACGTTACTATGCGACATGCGGAAATTCGTATCGGAGCCGACTTCGGCAGGTAACGAGGATGCTGTGAGCTGTGAATTTGCGATTAAGAAACATGTCTCGATACTCGCCTTTCTCCGTATCCAAAGAACTTGCGGCAGAGTGAGTCACCACGACAACGACAACGATAACAATGCCCCAATGATAGCCGCATGTTGCGATTCCCGTCGTTCAAAAGCAGTATACTAGCCCCAACGCAGCGGGTATAACACTTACAATCATAGTACAAGGCAATGGAAACAGCAGAGGCCCTGTACCACGCTAACTAGAAGAGTAGGAATGTGGCTAGCGGCTGAGACCGGGATACGCTCACGACTGTTGCAATTGTGTGGCATATGCACGGCTGTAGTCCGTTTTAGTGGCATGTGAAGGCCTCAGACGGTGATGGTTCAACGAGTATGGGGAACTTCCACCTTCGAAGAATGGCTTGCGCTTCGAACACGTCCTGCACCGCAGTCTTTGAAGCAGCATCAGTCTAAAGCATTTTCATGTTTCAGATGGAACCGGAGCATATCTATTATCGCTCAGCTCACTGATCAACTAGACTCCTCCCCAGGTCCTTGCTCGGTGCATCCCCCAACATGCACTGGAAAGCGAGGTGGGCGGAACCTGTTCACCCATCCAACATCCTAAACCTTGACATCAAGGCTGAAGCTCGAAGCCGACCACCTCGCAGGCCCACCAGTGAAAGCTTCCGTACCGATTTGATAGACTACTCATGTGTCAGTACCAGTCAGCTCTAACCGTGCAGGAACTACCTACCGATCAGATTCTGCGTGCTCGCAGGGTACTGCTGGGTCTGTACCAGGTAGTTGAAGAACAACTTGATATCAGCGCTAAAGCTCTTGATATCACTGTTTCCAGCGCGTACGAAACTGTACACGCGCATCGACCCGTTGTAGCCGGTGTAGAGATCAAACGTGTATCCAGCGATGGTAACGGTAGCCACTGGGGCTCCAGCTTGCGAGATAGGCCATACGCCTCCCAGCCTCCCGAGCCTTCTCCACGTTAGCCTCGCTCCGTTGCAGTCATCGTTTAGACACGGCATGAACGTACCAGACCATAAGCTCATAATCCCCACTACTATTAACATGCTCGGGATCCGCCGCAGTAAAAACATCATACGCCACATTCGCCCTCACATTGCTCGTCTGATTATACGACCACTCCACCTGCGTCGGCATACTAGTAATCTGCGAGATCTTTTGCCCTTTGGTCAGGATTTTACCGGCGTAGGCATAGCTCTTAACTTGGTCCTGGCCGCCTTGCCATACCCAATCCGTGCTCCATTTGATTCCGTTTCCGGTGCTGCCCTCGTAGTAGGTGCACTGAGAGCCAGATGTCGCCTGGTCTTTGCCCCAGAGGTTGTTGAGGATTTCGTAGCCGTTTGCGGAGTGGTAGGCGTATTGCGTGCAGAGGCTGACGGTCTCTTGGACGGAGGTTGCGGTGCGGGAGGTGAGGGTGGGTGTGCCGACTGGAGTGGCCGAGATACCGGCCAGAAGACCGGCGGAGAGGGCGATGAGGAGTTTCATGGTGGATTCGACGAGATTTGTACTGGAAATGGGACACGGATTTGTCTGATTAGTGATACACGGTTCTGTAGTTCGTTTTATACTAGTCCTACACACAGATTTACTTCAGCCTCGGATGCACTTCAGCCGCTCCATATGAGATCTTGTGATTGTCCGATCAGTTGACAAGCGCGAGGGTCAAGGAGGCGTCATGGCACAGCGACTAAGCTGTATAGGAGTAGCCTCACTCCCGGCCCTTCAGCCTCCAGATGAGGTACGAACGAGTTATTGACATGGATGTTTAAGTCGCGGTCGAGGTAGTAGGGCCGGTCCACTTTGTGTGGTGTATTTAACCTTATGAAGCCTCATATATGCTAGTGTGACCGGGTGTTGAACTCGGCATACATGCGGGGTACCTAGGTATAGCAAGCAAATTGCATGCAAAAAGCTCGGTATGTTCCGAAGACAGGATCAAACATCAAAGAATGAACATTCACTATGCCGAAATCAGGGGACGGGTGGATTGTGTCGTAACTTGCTTCTCCACACGTCTAACAGCCCCATCTATTCCAATCGTGCAACATGGATCCCTCACTTTGTTCCTCGCAGTAAGATACTCCACGGAATGCAATACCCCTCCAAAGTGTACCCCTATTGCCCTATAGCAAGCCAAGCAAATGCAAAGCAGCGACCAACAAACTCAATATATGCCTTGTGTGCGGTACTGGAAAGTATCGTAACTGATGGTCTCGTCAGTGAATGTCATCTACAGGTTTAGAGTAAAAGTCAGACTTACAGTCGGGTATAATAACTCCCCACACTCTTCGCAACGAGTTCCTCGACGAACCCCTCCGCCTCCTCCCTACTCAAATGCAGCATGAGACGCGCTCTCAGGCTATTTGTCACACTCGCCGCGCCAGCAGCAAAGCATGGCATGCTGCTCTGTTTGCTCATCAAATCGACCAGCATGATGAGTCTCTCTGCATCTTTCCTGAGCGCTTGGAACGCCTTCTTGCACAGCGTTTTGAACTCGTCGAACGCCGGGGATGTCACACCGCCTAGGACGTCGACGTAGTCTTGCGTTAGTTTGAAAGGCGCAGCTTCGAAACCCATAGATCCCGGGCTGTTGGAGAGCATGAAGCCAAAGTCGATGTGGATTATGTGGCCCATGTTGTCGATGAGGAGGTTGCCGTTGTGGCGGTCCTTTAATTGCAGAACGTAGCATATCATGCTGTAGGCGGCTAGGGAGCGGGCAAAGCAACCTACACCCGCAATATAGGCTTCCGAGTCTGGCTCGCCGAACGTCTTGAGCCAATGGTCTTTTAGGGTTGCGATGCGTTTCCGGGGGTTCGTGCCTGCTGCTATGCTAGCAAGTGTCAAGCTTCGTTTCAGGGAGTGAAGGGATACGCCGTTGGTAATGGTCTCGATGAGTCCGCAGGATTCGCCGGTAACTAAGATGCGCATCCGTTTTGTCCAGACGGGCACGTTTGCTTCTTCCCAGATCTTGGTGCATACTTCGATGAGCTGGCACGCAAAGGCTTCTTGACGCAGGTCGGCTCCGGTCTTGACAATAACACTGATCAGATCCCAGTTCTTCATATTACCATATGGAGAAGATCGCCGTATCCGTTCTCGCTTGGCGCTCCATTCTTCGCCGAATGTCGCGGCGCTGGGATCATCGCGATCGCCCTTCCGCTTCATACCACCGGTTTTGAGATCGTTCTCCATGCGAGCTGCACCCGCACCAGTGTTGGTTGCGACGGCCAAACCATCCTCAAGCTCCTCTGGCTCGGCACTGATTGCAGCTGGATCCGACTCTGCCATGATCGTGTCGAAAGTAGGGCCCTGGTCCTCATTTAAGAAGTTTTGCTCTTCCAAGCTCTGCATGCTTGCGATGATCTTGGCCTTGATCGCAGCTACTTCGCCCTTTGGCCGTTTCGCACCACTCGCCTCGAGCTGCGCAAGCATCTGGGCAGCGGTGCGCATGTGAGTCGCAAGGGCGGAGAAGTCCGGTTGATCAGCTGATTGATTCCGCTGGTTCAAATTCGCAGGAATCGTCATTCGCCTGATCGGACCGGGACTATTCGACCTGCTGATCTGCGAGTCGGAAGTTCGTGGTGTAGACAAGGTGGCCACAGAGGACAGAGTGTTTGCTCCACTAGAAGACCTGGGGGCTGTGGCTTTCCCATTGGCAGCCGCAGCAGGTAAGGTTACGCGTGCCATCCCGGAAGCAAGGTCGGTATCATCCATATCCTTGATGAGCGAGGTGCTGCCCAGGTCTCCAGTAGCGGGCTCGAACACGCTGTCTGATCCATTGGGTGGCGTGCGGTCGAAGGCAGAATACTCAGCATGAGTGATGTCAAATAGTCGTCTCCGCGAGGTGCCCTTCTCTAGCATCAGTTTCTCAAGCAGCTGCTGATTCTGTTCAGTGTCCGGATCAAAGTCAAAGTCCTCCTCCAAGACCTCAACCATGAGCAGATACGGTACTCGCTCTGCACTGTTGAGACTAGTCGCTTCCGCGGGGTTGATGCGCACTATGCGGTGATGCTGGCTCTGCGACGGGATCCCATCCTTGAGAGTCGGGGGCGATAATAAGGGTATATCAACTTCAGCCGGCAGGTCCTGGGCGATCAACGCTAGTTCAGCTCTCAGAGCACTTAGCCGCGCGGGTTTCGGCACAACGACGAGGCGGTTTGAGATGTCCTCGAGCGCGCTAAGAAACTGGGTCTCGTTCCGGAAGTAGTTGGATCGCAGTAGTCGTACCTTCTGCGCGCGGGACAAGGCGGTGGGCGAAAGGGGCCTCGGTGGCAGCCCGGGGTGCTTGCGAGAACCATGCTGGAGTGGGCCTGGTCCGAGGCCAGCAGTTGCGGGAGGTGTGGGCAGGGGAGAAGACGTTTGGTCTCGGAAGTCGGGTAATGACGACGAGCTGAGCCGGGCCTCCGAGGCTATCGACAGCAACGAAGGGCGATGCTGCATCGAGGGGGCCCGTGTAGTAGCTGGCGGTCGTACAGCTGCCTTCCTCAGGTCCTTGGGTTCACGTGGCCGCGAGGACGAAGCCTTGACGGATCGCCCATCCTCAGGGTCGGAGTGCTGCTGCGCTATCCGCTTCTCCTTGGAGCGTGAGGAACTGCCCGTGACGGTCTTGCTCCGCCCGACCTTGGCCGTCTGCACATTGTCCGAGATGATGTCCTCGACGGGCCGTGGCTTCCGCGCCTGCGCAATGGCCAGTGGTCCGGCGTGGACGGGGAGGAAGGGCGCGGCTATGCTCGCCAGGACCAGGCTCGAGAGCACCGTGACGGGCAGGACGTTCTCCTTGATCTTCTCGCGGCGCTGGGGCTCGGCGGACCCGAAGACGATGCGCTGGACGCGGTTGTAGATGCGGCGGCACGTCTTGAAGGCAATCGAGTTGGGCGCGCTGGCGAGGTCGTGCAGATACGTCTGGAACAGCCAGAAGGTCAGCAGCGCGCCGTTGACCGACTCCTCGCACAGGTCGATTATGAATTCCTCCAGGGCCATGGACTCGTTGTCGATGCTGATGAGCAGGTGGCAGAGCCTGTGCCCCGCGTGTGTAAGCTAGCTGTCCATGTCTCGTCGAGGTGGGCAGGCGGCGACGTACTGCGGGAGGAAGAACTCGAGCTCCTCGTAGGCGAACTGGCGCAGCTTCGAACAGAGCACATAGTGGATTCCGACGTGGTCTGCATACCGGCTGCGGTCACGGCCATGGTCAGCAACGGGCCCCAATGCGGACGTGGGTGGAGGTGAAGGGCGCTGCGTGCGGCGGTGCTGCGGGCAACGGTGGCTTCGGGGCACATGGGACGGGGACGGGGAGGGGACGGGGACTCACGCAAGGTATGCTACTGCGAGGCTCGGATCTTGGTTGAAGTGCTCAGATTCTATAAAGCGCTCTAGCAGATTCCAACTCATCTGGGACGGCTCATTGGGGCTCAGGACGGGTGGAGGGCGACGGCATGCGGTGAAATGCTCAAAAGGGTCGCATACGGAAAGATGGGGCGCGACAGGGTTCAGCGGGCGGAGCTGCTCATCTCCGCCGCCTGCGTGATAGATAGCCTAGCAATGCGACATCCACTGTATTACTCCACTAACACTACTGCTTTCACTATGCTTCCTCCAGTCCAGCCATACATTCCGCCATCATAAAGAATAATCCTGCAACAATAACAAATACCCGCAGCCAACGCCGTGCATTGACTTTTTGAATAAGCCCAACCCTCGCGCGCAGTGAACCACATATCGTACACCGGGGAATATATACAATAAACGTGCAGTCTAGTCCGCAGCGTGCAGGTCGACAAAGATGTTGATGGCGGCCACCAAGACTTCAGCAAAAATGAGGATGATGACGATCCACTCGAGCAATTCACCCTATATTGGTCAGCGGATGTACGGCAAAAAAGCATGAGGTAGGTACTTACGTGGGTGACGGTCAGCTGATCCTTCAAGACAGCAAGCAAGTCTCCGATGACATTGAGTCGCTCGGTCAAGAGACTTACTCTCTGGTCCATCTCCAGATAGCTTCTCACAGCTTGATACACCGGGTCCAGCTGCGGCTCTGCCCACATGAGCTCTGGCGCATCAAGAACCGATCCTTGCAGATGGATACTAATGCGGAGAATGAACAATTCTCCAATCTGCATATTGATCTGCTTCTTGTTCAGGTTGATCTTGCCGGAGCTGGCGATTTCAGCTGGGATGTCCTTCGTCTCGTCGATAGTGTTGTCGACCAGGTCCTCGAACAGCGACGTCTTGACACTCTGAGAAAGACCGTGACTGATCGCCAGCTTGATCATGTAGTTCTTCTTGTCGCGCAGACTGATGAAGTCGTTGTATATCCGGGCCTGGTACTCGCGCGTGTAGTAGAAGTTGAACTCTTCCGTCTCGATCTCATCCTTGCCGAGCTTGTCCACTTCAAACTTGGCGATTTCCTTCAAGAACTTCTTCTCCTCCTGCAGTGTCATGCCCCAGATCACAACAGTGCCGTACTCAAAAAGGAATACCTCGGG